ATCTCACACGCAGTTAACACTGCTCATATCATTCCCAAAAACATTCTATTAAAATCATCTCCTTTTTATCCGGACTTAAAGTCCGGTCAGACTTGTCCGGATTAGAAGTCCGGTCAAAACACTTTGAAAATAAACCAACTCCCTTGTCCGGTTTAGCAATCCGGTCATTATAAATATGAAAATATAACATTCTTGTTCGGTTTACAAGTCCGGTCAGTACTCCAATTATATCGTTGTCCGGTTTAGAGTAAACCGGACGATATACCGTTCATCCTTTGTCCGGTTTAGAGTATACCGGACAACACATCATTTAATCTTTTGACCGGTTTAAAATATATCGGTCACCCTTTAGCCGGTTTATAGACCTAAAACTTTTCTCACAAGCGGTTTAGAAGTAAACCGATCACCATATGACCGGTTTAGATGATATCCGGTCACCTCTTGGCCGGTTTAGATAATATACCGGTCACCTCTTGGCCGGTTTAGTTATCCGGATTACAATCCGGACAACACTTGTACGGTTTAATCAAGAACATTCATAAAATGCTATAAAATTCAATATAACCAGTTCCAAATGCTTATCAAATCATATATAAGCAATTTATACTTCAAAGCTCTATACACTCACCTTTAGCAATTGAGAACCAAAGCTTTTGAATCTCTTTTCTCCTGTGAAATCCTCCTTCTTCAGAGAAAACTTTCTAATTATGGAAAGTGTGTTGTGTGTGTTTTCTCTTCATAATTTCTATTTATACCAACACACATAACCACAAGGGAATTGAGAGGCGACTTAATAGCCGACCCTCTCCCCTTCTTTTCTTCTTTTAAATGTTCCCACACACACATATTATGCATACATATATCTTATATATATATATATATATTTATAAATAAATATATACATATATATATATATACATAACTATAATAATAACCAGACTATTACAGTATACGCAAAGGTGTTATTTGATTCTGGTGTCAATTGTTCGTTGTATCACCTTTATTTGTTGGGTGTTTATACGTGAATTTTGTGTCCCTTGACTATGTCTTAGTAGCTGATACTGCTAAAAATAGTCAAGTATTTGTTACCCATGTATTTAATGAATGTCAAATTGAGGTTGAAGGATGTGTGTTACCGATCCGTTTATACCCGATGCCGATAAGGGACTTCAATGTTTTAGTGGGAATGGATTGGATGGCAGAGAATCAGGCGAGCATTGTGTATAATAAAAAGATGATAGGCATTGATTTACCGGTGAAAGGGCCAATTTTGATTTATAGTGATCGACGGGATCATCACACCAGTCTGATATCTATTATGCAGGCTTGAAATTGTATTCAGAAAGGGTGCCAAAGTATTTGTTGTTCCCAGCTGGATCTACAAGGGTTTAGAGGTGATCAGTTTGTAGAAGGGGGGATGAATACAAACACAGTAACTTTCACTTCTAAAAATATATATTGATAAAAAAAAAGATCAATACAGATTTTTACAGATTGTTTGCGGAATAGACAAGGTAAAGCAAAACCTATCTAAAACAATCTAGAGATACACACAGATACACTTAGCAAATATATAAGATTTTTCGAAAGAGATAAGACAGAAGTGTATTTTTCTTGGGTATGTCTTAGAATTAGAGAGAAATTCTAACTTACTTCCATCACAGCGTTGCATGAGTGAAGAGAGCACACAACTATTTATACCCATTGTATTAAATGCAATTTAGAAGTGGTATAACATGCATCAAGCTTTTAGAGGAAAGCTTGTACTGTGCTACAGTGAATAATACTTTTGTCTATTCATGAGCAGATATCCTTTCATGGAGTTGGTGGGCACTAGAGTCGACTAGTCGGCTACGTGCTGTAGTATACTCTAGAGAGGGTGTGGGGTTGTCCTTTGTGTGTGAAAGGACAAGACAAAAACAATCGTGCATGGCAAGCTTCATTTGATCGCTGAATGCTGGAATAACGCTAGAGGTCTCTTCAGCATTCATTGAGGCTTGTGTAGTGTTTACACATATGTTGACCAGGTTATAATCACTGAATACCGTTTCAGATAACGAATGCATTAGTCACTAATCTTCGGTTTCAGTCTTCGACATTTGTTGAAGGTTCTTGAGTGTGAGTTTTGACTTCTTGAAGTAAAACTGTCCCTGTAGGATTACAATACACGTTTCAGCGATCACTGAACAGACATAGTGATGATCGCTGAAACTGAATAGACAGAAACATAATACTTCGATAGGTAAAAGGGATTATCATCAAATCTATGAGAGAGAGGATCAACAATCTCCCCCTATTTGATGATAATAAAGCAACATAAAGAAAATTGCTTTAAGGTATAATAGTAAGAAAAAGTTACACGTAAAGTACATGTTCCTTTTAACTATTTTGGGATCTTTTTTAGTGATACAGTTTTTACCATATAAGTTTTCTTAAGTTACAAGTTTAAGAAAAAGTTCAAGAAAGAAAACTGAAACTGAAAGCATGTTCATAGACTGGAGATTGTCAGTAAATGTAAGAGCATACTGGAACTCATAGACATGTGTCTCTATTACTTTTTTTCAGGAATCTTTTTCGGTGATACTGGTGAAATACTTATATTGTTCAAAAGGAGAAAACAAGTGTTACAACAGTACATTCTGAACTTATCACATATAATTTGTACACTAAAAAAAAGACATAGAAGGATAAGATTTACAAGACAAAAAATTCTAACTACTCTAAGTCGCTGAAGTCGATGTACCCAGGTACTTCTTTTCCAAGCATCTTTCGACATAGAAATTCTCTTTTGATCTTATGGTCAATTGTCTCACCATAAGGTTCATTGTCCAACCAATATCTTAGATAATCTAGATGTTCTATAGGACAGAGACAGAGTTCATACACTCTCTGAAAGCTGTGTTCACCATCATAGTCAAGGAATATGAATATGAACTCAGGGTTTAGGTGCATAGAGTTGGGTGTCTAAGGACCCTTCGCTGGCAAAGATATGTTCAACATAGAGATGTCTGGCTTCTTCGAATCCTTTAGGGAGAGCTTTGTTTCATGTTCATTCCTTAGAGTTGGTCCATCATTAGGATTAGAAGGTTTTCTTTATCCACCTTGCTTCAGAGTTGGCTTTGTAGGTACAACAACAAATTTGGACATCTTCTTGATCATCTCGCTAAGGATGTCTCCAATTATTGGCTTGTGCCTTGACATTGAGCATTGAATGGCCTGGCGGATTTCCAGCCATTGGTTGTAGCCATATCGACCAAGGTAGGAAGGGTACTAGACGACAGAGTCAAGGTTGTCTCTGATGATGTGCATGGAGATAATCATTTCACCATCTTTCTTACGACCACTGATTGTGACGTTAGTGATGCGACGGGGACGAATTCTTTTATTAAGGTGATCTTCACTCTATTTCTTGTCTCGGTCATTCAACTTCATTGCTTTTTGATGTTTAGATTCTGCAATTGAGAACAATTTAGCTTGGTCCTTGACAACATTCACTATATTTTTAGACATTTTCTTTGGAAGAACTTGAGAATCAAGAGACTTGGCCAGCTTGAGGCTGTCCTCAGTCTGTTGTCATTGAGTTTGGAGTTCTTCTTCAGCCTTGAGTGCTTCGAATCTTTCAGCTTCGGTAAGGAAGTCAAACTCGCCACAACTAGAGGTATGAAGAGGAATTTTTACTCTAGTTTGGTCAAGTAACTCCTTAAGCTGAGTCGTCTATTGGTCGCCAGGAACAAGAAGTTGGGTTTTCAAGGACCCATTCAACTAGACGACCACAGGTGGTAGAAGGATAGTATATGAGAGTTGAGAGAGAGAGAGAGAGAGAGAGGTGATAACAACAAACTTGGAGGATTCAATATATTCTTGAGAATTGACAGGTTTGAAGAGTACTTTCAGATTTCCTTCTTCTGCAACACCTTTGTCTTTAGAGAAGGTGTTCTGGTTTTTTGCAGAAGTCTCTTTTTCTTTCTCCTTCTCCTTCTCCTTCTCCTTCTCCCCTTGGGATGATGATTCCCTGAGAGAGACTCCTTTCAGAGCGGTTGCTGGTTTGGTGTGGTATTAAATAGTGAAGTTGTCATCATCGTCTTCATCATCATCATCACCAAGATCTTTTCCAGCATCAGGAAAGGAAGAAGGATCATCATCTTCATCATCATCGTCATCTTCATCTTCTTTATCACCAACATCAACTGCAGAGGTGATAGGAAGGTCTTCGTCTTGAGCATCAGCTCTGACGACATCATTAATTTCCTCAACTTCAGCAACAGCTTCAGCTTCATGGGAAGTGATGGCATCTACAACTTCAGCAGCAACTTTATTTGCTTTAACTCTTTCATCTTGAGCATCAGCATTAGCTGGTATTATAGGGACAACATCAGCAGCTAAGTCTTTCTCCCCTCTTTGTCATCAGCAAGACGGGAGGTGAGATCATCAAGACTTTTAGCATCTATATCCAATTGTTGTTTAATCTTGGCTAGAGATTGAGCTTGAAGAAGACCAAGTTCAAGCACTTGATCCAGCAATAGGCGATCCTCAACTGTGAAGGAGGATGCAGGAACTGGCTCTAAACGTTGAAGAAGATCCAATATCTGATGCATCATCTCACCATGCTTGGTAAGTTGAGCATGCGTTTTGTCAGCTTTGCTTTTGAGAGCAGAGATGGCCTCAGCTTTGGTGCACACATCGGCTTGCACCATTGATAGCAGTTTCTTCACATCATTAACTTCAAATTTGACAGCTGAGAGGTCAAAAGAAAGGTCATCCCGGAGAGGCATGTATTCATGGACTTGGTCCATTTTGATTAAGACAGTCTCTTCAGCTGGGAGAATCAGCTTGACATCCTCATCCATGTTGTATTCTTCTTCCATGGCTGGCGGTTCTTCATAGCAAGGACCAGAAAAATAAGTAGTTTGAGCATAAGATAGCTCGGGGTTAGAAGAAATAAAGGGGTAGGTTGGTAGAGTACCTGAGGGGTCATCAGCACCATCTGAAGGATTGATGCTGGTTCTCCCTTGTTTGCCTTCGAGAGGATAGGCTTCCGTTGACTGAGAAATCTCGAGAGGAGCAACCTCAAGTCCTATGGTGATTGTTTCATCATCAGTGAGGACAATCCCTGATACATCACCAGCATGTGTCGAGACCAAAAAAAGAAAAGAATAGAAGATGGCTGAGAGTGATGGAAGTGGGTGTTTAGCAGTGGCTATGCTGATTTTCATACCTTCAGTGATTTGGGTTACCGAGGCGATCAGTAGAGGAGCCACATGTACGTCAATGACTAAAGAAATCACTAAAGAGCTATGAGGGGTTATAACAGAAGTCGCCTCGAGGGTAACGCTTGTATCTATGACTGCGACCTTTTGAGAGGTAACAGCCAGGGATGTGGGTATCCCCTTTTTGGCTTTCTTGGCCCTTGAAGGAGAACCAATAGTGGTTTGAGAGGAGGATCTTTTAGAAGAGAGGGTGGTGGTGGTTGGGATAGACTGAGGGGGGTTTTCCTTAGTCTTGACCACCGGTGCAAGGGAAGAAGGACATACAAGCATAGTTGGAGAAGATGAAGAACATACAGGCACAGTTGGAAAAGATGAAAAAGTACTGCAATGTGCGCTACATGAGGTGTCTAGAAGAGAGGAAAGGGCAACATCTTTAGGTTTAGACTTATGATCCAAAATTTCGGATCCAAGCCTGTAGATAACTAGGTTGCCTACAGAAATCTGGTATAAGAGACCACCTTTTCCCTTTGGCGCTTGTTCAGCTTTAGCATCAGGTCTTCAAACATAACGCCAACAAAGTTGATTGGCCTCTGGTGAATGATAGAAACTCCAATATTCAATGCAACTTTGGATGCTTGGTCTTATCCAACAATTTTGCCTCCCATACAATGAATGAAATGGGAAAACATATATTTCCATATCGCTGACATACGGTTCTTCTCAAGCTTTGAGAGTGATTTGAGGGGTTCGCTGGAGTCCTTCTTTATTGGCCAGGCATATCCAATATCATCTAGACAGGAGATGATATCCTAAGTGGAAGGTTCACTGGCATAAGGACCTTTTGGAAGCTAGAGAGTGGTCCTTAGTGTGGCTACACCAAAACTGACTGTCATTCTATTAAAGGTGAAGGAGATTTTCTCCACCAGTTTACCAGTCTTGTCAGTTTCTTGCTTGACTTCAGCAGTAAACCAGAACTGCTGAAGGACTTCTTTCACAATGACATGTTCATGAAAGATAGCAAAGAAAATGGGAGAGTTCCTGAGGAATCGACCAACATCCTCAAACTGTGGTTTATTGGCGGGAATGTCCAAAAGCGCGACATGGTTGTTGGGCTTGAACGACACTTCATCAATAGCGAAGTTTACGTTCTTGGCAGACATTTCTATAATATATAAGAAAGAACAGAAGATAACATGTTTGTTAGAAATCCAAGATAAAAGAGTAAACTCCAAGTTTTGAATCGATAAAAAATTCTTTTGAAAAATCCACATTAAGATTTAGGGTTTTTCATGAACAATAAGTGTATAGAAACTTTAGATAGTAACCAAGTATAAGAATGTGTTAGTTATTTGTATGTTAGTTGTTTAATAGAACAGGTTCTTAAATAACATAACAAGAGTTTCTTAGAAGAAGAACAGATCAAAATAAGAAGGAAATGATTATGAACCTGTGATTTTTAGAAAAGAAGGTTGATGGTCTTGACCGTTCTTTAAGTTCTTGCTTGCAAAAGTCTTAGAAGCAGAGGTTCGACAATAATTTTTTGGAAGCGTAAGAAAAATGAGAGGAGAAGTCTCATATTTGTATGTAGGAGAGAGAAATGGAAAGAGGAGAGAGGAAAATATAACTTAAAAGTTGTGCAATGATGAAAAAGTTCGCATGTGCTCATCCATGATTGGATGGAATTACGAGGGGTCGCGTGTGTTAGAACGGTACACGCGTCTCAAAAAATCGTATCATTAAAACAAAATGATGTCATAAGACATTTCATTTTTCATTTCTTTTTAAACAAAAAATTTAAGTTATTCAAAAACACATTTTGAAATATATGTATTTGAGAGTATATCTTTTTAAAGATAAGTTTAAAAAGGTTTAGTGATAAGAAGAACCACTAAATGAATTTTAACTTTTAAAACGTTCATCACTGATTAGGAAAAGGTTCAGTGATGGTTTTAGTTTAAGATAAGTATATATTAGAGAGATACACTTGCTTAAAAAGTTCAGTGATAGAAGAAACACTGAAACAATTTTTTTAAACAGTTTGATCACTAAATATGGAAAGATTCAGTGATAGATTTAAGTTTTGAAAAGAGAGATAAGTATACATACCTTAGAGAGAGAAGATATATTTACTCAAGAGTTCAGTGATAGAGTAAGAACACAGAATCATTTCACTTACTGAGTAATGCTTATAACTAAAAGAGTTAATCATCAGCGTTCAACATTCCAAGTTTGCTGATCAAGATGTTAAATCTTGTCTCATCAAGAGGCTTTGTAAAAATGTCAGCGAGTTGGTACTCAGTTGGAATAAAGTGAAGTTCAATATTACCATTCATAACATGATCWCTGATAAAATGATATTTGATCTTAATATGTTTGGTCTTGGAGTGAAGAACATGATTGTTTGCAATAGCAATAGCAATAGCACTGGTGCTATCGCAATAGACAGGGATCTTGGAAAGCTGAAGATTATAGTCGTTGAGATGGTTTTTCATCCAAAGAACTTGGGCACAACATCTTCCAGCGGCAACATATTCAGCTTCAGTAGTTGATCTTGACACAAAATTTTGCTTTTTACTTGACCAGCTTACTAACTTTCCACCTAGAAGTTGACAGCCTCCAGTGATGCTTTTCCTATCAATTTTGCATCCTGCAAAATCACTATCCGAGTAACCTTTTAGGTCAAAACCTGAACCCTTAGGATACCAGAGATCCAAGTTAGGAGTTCCCTTCAGATATCTGAATATGCATTTTACAGCAATTAGATGGGATTTCTTAGGTTCAGATTGATATTGTGCACATATACAGGTAGAGTACATGATATATGGACGACTTGTTGTAAGATATAATAGAGAACCGATCATTCTTCTATAAACAGTAACGTTTATAGGACTTCTGTTTGGATCCTTGTTCAGTAAGAGAAGAGGAGCCATCAAAGTTTTCATAGATGAGCTGTTGGATAGATCAAACTTTTTCAACATATCTCTGACATACTTACTTTGGCTGATAAAGATACCTTTATCCGACTGCTTAATCTACATACCTAGAAAGTAGGTTAGTTCCCCCCATCATACTCGTCTGATATTTTTTATTCATGCGATCAGTGAACCGAAAACACAAAGAGGGATTAGTGGAACCAAAAATAATATCATCGACATAAATTCAAGACTATAATGTTCTGACCTTTAACTTTTCTAAGAAATAAGGTTTATTCAATCTTTCCATGGACAAATTTCTTAGAGATTAGAAATGAGGAGATGGTATCATACAAGGCATGAAGGGCCTGTTTTAACCCGTAAAGAGCTTTATCCAATCTATAGACGTGATTTGGATACATAGGATAAAGAAACCCTGTAGGTTGTTCAACATAAACTTTCTCTTGGAGTTTTCAATTAAGGAAAGCACTCTTTATATCAATTTGAAACACTTTAAAGTCTCTATGGACAGCAAAGGCTAGAAAGAGTCGAATAGCTTCGAGTCTAGCCAATGGTGTGAAGGTTTTGTCATAATCGGTTACTTTTTCTTGTCTGTAGTCCTGAGCAATAATGCGAGCCTTGTTACGAGCTACAGCACCTTGTTCATCTAACTTATTGCGATAAACCCATTTGGTGCTTATCATAGTTTTCTTAGATGGACGTGGGACAAGGTACCAGACTTTGTTCCTATCAAACTCATTGAGTTCCTTTTGAATGGCAATGACCCAACTATGGTCTGACATAGCCTCACTGATTTTCTTGGGTTCAACTAGAGAAAGGAAGTTGACAAAGAGATAGATATTACCTAGACCATGACGTGCCTGAATACTTGCACTTGGATCACCAAGAATTTGATGAGTTGATGGTCTTTCGTCCATCGCTGAGTTGGCAAAGGATTATCATCTGAGCATTGATGTTCAGGTATAGAATATGAGGCTTCAACTACAGATTCTTCAGCAATATGTTGAATTGCAAAAGGAGCCCCAGAGAGAGATTCAGCGACTGATAGAGGTTCAGATGCTGAAGGCATTTCATTCACTGATGGGTCAGTGTTTGAAGTAGAGGGAGGAATTCAACTAATGGGTACTGCAACGATCTCTGAAAAAGATTTGCCTTGGTTATTAGTTGCAACTGGAATGATAATCGGATCATCATTAGCTTCAAGAGTATCAACATTCGGTAGATTGCTGAAAGAAGCTTCAGGTTGTCCAAAATGAGAGAACATCCAGCTTTCTAACTCTTCATCATCATCAATGATGGGTTCAGAGTTAGAAGATTGAGATTCATCAAAGGTGACATGGATAGTTTCTTCTATGGTTTGTCGATGTTTGTTGAATACTCTGAAGGCTTTGGATACTAAAGAATATCCAAGAAATATTTCTTCATCAGCTTTGGGATCGAACTTTCCAAGTTGTTCACGGTTGTTGAGAATGTAATAAGTGCAACCAAATATGTGAAGAAAGCTGAGAGAAGTTTTTCATCTACGGAAGATTTCGTAATCCGTCTTCTTGATTCTCTTAACGATCAGTGACCGATTTTAAGTAAAGCAAGCAGTGTTGACAACTTCGACCCAAAATTGAGTAGAGAGATGGGATTCACAGAGCATGGATTAAGCAGCTTTGATGATTGTTAGATTTCTTCTTTCAGCAACTGCATTTTGTTGTCGAGTTCTCACAGAAGAGAAGTTGTGAGAGATTCGTTTGTCCTCAAAGAAGCCATCCATAGTACTGTTTTTTAATTCAGTTCCATGGTCACTTCTGATAGATCGTACCTTAATTGTTAAGTACTTCAGGTGCATCACTTTTGGATTTGAGAAAGAAGACCCAAGTGTACCTGGAATACTCATCAATGATGACAAGTGTATATTTCTTTACAGCTATTGATTGCACATTGATTGGACCACAGAGATCCATATGCAATAACTGAAGTGGAGAAGTCACTAAAGAGATTTTCTTAGACTTGAAGCTAGATCTTGTCTATTTTTCTTTCTCACACACTGAGCAAAGAGATTTCTTTGCAAAGATGTGTTGACGAACACCAGTGACGAGATCATTTTGAGATAGCTCACTAAGTGTCTTGAAGTTGAGATGAGAAAGTCGTTTGTGCCATAGCCAGTTGATGTCTAACGAAGCTTTAGAGAGAAAACAATTGTTCTCTGTTAGAGTAGAATCCATATTGATGATATATACATTCTCTAGGCGAGAATCGGTTAGAGCAACCTTATCATCTTTGTCAAGAATGTGGCATGAATTCTTAGAAAATTTTACTGTGAAATCTTTGTCACACAGCTGACTGATGCTACGAAGATTTTGCTTCAGTTCTTCAACATATGTAACACTTTTTAAAGTAGTTGCACCATTGGTTATTACACCAAACCCTTGGTATATCCTTTTCCACTTCCTCAAAAGGTTATGGAAGGGCGTCTTTCATCCATGTAGTCAATGAGCAGGGATTTGTCTCTAGTAATGTGTCTCAAGCATCCACTATCGAGATACCAAATGCCTTTGACTTTCTACAATCGAAAATAAAATAAGATTGCTTTGGTACGCATTTTTCTTTGGGTCCTGCAGAGTTAGAGGCAACATCCACTAAAGCTGAAGACTCAGAGTCAGCAGATGTCTTCATTGATCCTGAAGAAGAGGCTATAATGGGATTCGGAGCAACAACCACTGACGCTGAAGGCATAGAGTCAGTAGGTGTCTTCACTGAGCCTGAAGAAGAGGCTCTAGTGGTTTTCTTCACCTCAGTTTCACAACTTTAGTGGAAGATTTCACCTTGGTTGATTTCTCAGCCTTGGTTACTTTCTTTCCTTTAGCTGGAGGACCAGCCTTGGTAGAAGTACACTTACTAGAAATATGTGTAGTTTCACCACAGTGTCTACACTTCCTATGAAACCAACTTTAGGGCCAGGAAGTACCAAAGGAACAGAAGAGGGACAAGCTCCAAAGATTATCTTCTCATTTGTTCTAGGAGGAACAACTGAGAATTTAGAGTCCTTGGGTGAAACATTCATCTTAAGCTTTGACTTAGATTCCTGAGTGGATTCAGATGTCTTGAGGAGGAGGAGGAGGAGGAGAAGATTGTTAGCCTTCTTGGGAAGAGGTGCTATGACAATGGATTTACCTTTGTCGTTGCAACCTGAACTCGAAGGAGTTCCTTCAAGATGACTCTCAGTGAAAGAAGACTGA